AAAATGCCCAGAGCATTCATTCCATTTCACCAATTATCGGTAGGGATTTCATATAATCATTTCTCTATTTTGGAGAGGCGGGGGAAGTAGAGGAGCACAGATCTCCTTTTTATTTCCAGTGTTTTCCTGGGGCCATTAGGTATAATAGGGCAAGCACCTTAGGCAGACATTCTTGGTGGAGCGGAAGCAGCAAGATATTAATGGGCAGAGCTGGGGGGCTTGGTGGTCTCATGGGGCTCCCTAGACTCCTCTGAAGGTAAACTTTTGCTTCTGGGTAGAGGAGATGATGCGAACAGACAAAGAAAAGGGCAATTACTTATTAAGCCTATAGGCTGACCAACTCCAATGTGACTATGGGTAGGTGGATGGGTAGGTAAGTCAATGCTGACTCTTGGCAACTGCCTGCACAAGTCCTTGCAATTTTCCTAGCAATGGATTTTGGAAGTGGCTTGCCATTACTTCTTCCCCAAGGGTGTGAGACAAAATGATTGGCCTAAAAATCACACAGCTGGTTGTGTGTCCAAGGCTAGGCTACAATTCAGTCTGCTGGTTTCTAGCCTTCGCCCTACACCAAATAGGCTCTTTTGTTTAAAGAGCCTATTTTAAAATCAGTTTAAAATAACACAATAAGTATAAAAGGGAAATGTCTAGGGGAGGAAAATGAATGGACAATCCAGTTTTCTCCAGAGGGGTCTGCCACCACTTTGCCCAAAGTTGGAAGAGCTGGTTTAGGGGGTTGTTGAAATAGGAATGGTTGTCATCCACAGATCAAGAAAGGTTTTTTTCTTGCTAACCTCAGACAGACAGACAGATAGACACAGACATAGAATAACACAACAAAAATATAGAATCACAAGAAGCTGCCTGAGGTTAGCAAGAAAAATAATAGAATTATCTTAAGGTAATACCCTCACAGGTAGGATGAGAGAGAGAGAGAGAGAGAGAGAGAGAGAGAGAGAGAGAGAGAGAGAGAGAGAGAGAGAGACAAGAGACAGAGACAGAGACAGAGACAGAGACAGAGACAGAGACAGAGAGAGACAGACAGACAGACAGACAGACAGACAGACAGAATAACACAACAAAAACATAGAATCACAAGAAGCTGCCTGTCTGCCTGTCTGTCTGTCTGTCTGTCTGTTTCTCTCTCTCTCTCTCTCTCTCATATCCTACCTGTGAGGGTATTACCTTAAGATAATTCTATTATTTTGTTAACCAGCTTAAGCAGAAGTATTAAGTTGGTTTAATAAATAAGCAAGGCAGTATGGATGCCTTGAATGTGGCTCCTTATGTAGCCAAAATGCCACCCTTTCATAAATAAAAGGCAAGCATCAGCAGCAGGAGGGAAATCCATGTGTTTGCAGAAAAACCAAGTGGAGAAAATATCAGCACAATGAAGATTGAATATTTAGTGCTGGGTGGATAACTACGGAAAATTAATTGAAAATCACAACACAGCAAAGAGAGAGGAATGGCAGAGTTATTTGGGAATTCCAACCTCCCCCCCCTCTACTGCAAAGCCCCACTTTTCATAACTATGCATGTTATCTGTCCTATGATAATTTGCACCTGGTAGCAAATACAAAATAAGTTTACTTAATTCTTTGCCCTATAGCAATCAATTTCCAAAAGTTGTAGTATGTGTAGAAACACACTGAGAAGGAAAGTGCATTCCACAGCCACCTTTGTTGCTAACTGCAGAGAGAATTTTATTGGCTTTTCCAGTTTTTCCTTGGGATTCCAATTATTCCAATGGCCCCCAGAGTGAATCATAATGACTTCCACATTGAGTATGCTGATCATGGTAAGTTCTTCAAACTAACTATATATTAAGACAATGAGTATTCTTTTAAAATTTCAGTTCATGTGTAATAATGAAAACAAGAGATCTACTTGGATTTCTCTTCCCCTGTTTGTGCCAGAGGTGAATACTGCTTGCGTGTGATACATAGCACCAGAGGAATTTGTCAGAACAGTTTAACTTAACCAAGCTTTATGCTGGCATTGTAACAGACCAGTTGAAGAGTTACATGAATTGAACTGTTTCCTGTGAAAGTTCCCCAAATGTTGACTGCACAAGACTGAAAGCACAAGGAAGCCCATTTTTATTCAAAGCCATGTCCTGCCATGCATGCATGGAGATCAGGAGATGCATCCTTTTCCCCCATTGAAACCTCATTCATAAAAATAAAAAAAAAAACTGTCTGCCATTCATGCTGCAGTGAGAGAAATGAGGGTTCTCAGGAACAGGGACTGAGGAGGGAAGGAATCACCTGCCATGATAGTTGGACATTTTCATTCATGGTCTATAAAGGGCTGCAGTATTATTGGTTGAATTAATTAAGACTTGAATCCACAAATATCCCAATTACTACACAGTGTTTTGCATGTTATTTTAAACCAAAGTACACATTAAAAAAAGAAAAGAAAGAAAGTGGACTTTTCAAGAGAAGGAAGAAAAAAAGATTAATACTTGGTGGTTTGCTTGGAAAAGAAGAGAAAAGGCATCTGAAAAGGTGCAGAAACTTGTCCAAAATTGAGTTGTTGGAGTGTGGATTTGGGAACCTTTTAAAATGGCATTGGCCAGACTCTACCTGCATTTCATTTAATTGCCAAATAAGTCGTCTCCCTCTCTCCCTCCTTCTTCTTTCTTTCTTTCTTTCTTTCTTTCTTTCTTTCTTTCTTTCTTTCTTTCTTTCTTTCTTTCTTTCTTTCTTTCTTTCCTTCTTTCTTTCTTTCTTTCTTTTTCCTTCCTTCCTTCCTTCCTTCTTTCTTTCTTTCTTTCTTCTTTCTCTTTCTCTCTCTCTCTCTCTCTCTCTCATACGTTAATGCACGCAAATATATAATTCGTTCATAAACGAACTAAGGAGAACTGTCGAAGCTTCTGGTAAACGCGTTTCTGGCGGGTCTCTTCCCCCCGTACAGTTCATCGGAAGCACAAATTCCTTCGGCGCACTTCCCCGCGCCCCCCGCGGAAACCAGTTGCTTTCCCCTCGGGGTCGAGTGACAGCCGGCGGCGCGAAGGAAAAGCAACTCGCCCAGCAGCGGGCGCGGCGGGCCTGCCCAGCTCCGGAGCTCAGCAGCCGGCCCGGGGTCTTTCTCCAGAATCCCCGCGGCGGGGAAAGGTGGAGTGGAGCGAGAGCCGTGTAGCGCCAGCCTTCACTTCGGTGGGTGGCGGGGACGAGCGAGGCTTTGGCTCTCTCAGCACCGCCGGCCTCTTAAGCAAGAAAAGCTGCCTATTCTCTCGGGCCAAGAGAAACACAAGCTTCGCTCGAGTTCCCCGAGGCGTCGGCAATCGAGAAACCGCCGCGGCACGTTCGCAGGCGAACTGAAACGGGTCTCTAACCTTCGCAGAGCGCACCAGCCAACTCGGAGCGCGTCCGCTCTTTCCCTCCCTCGCGGCGCCCCAAGAATGCCAGGGAAGGAAAGAGAGAGAGAGAGAGAGAGAATAGGCGCGCTCGGACCGTCTGATCCTACCCGGCTCGTTTCTCCCGAAGCCTCGAGAGTTCAAGCCTTCGCCCAACCCTGGAACCTCAGTCTGATCGCACCCTCACCCCAGACCTAGCCCTGCTTTCCTGACTTCCCGGCGTTCAAGTACCCAGAACTGCCATCCAGTTCCTCTCCTCCTCCTACCCGCGATCCGCAGGTCCAGAGTGAACGCCCCACATCTCAGACCTGCGCCGAGATTCCTGTTTTGGACGGAACCACTAGCGACCAGCCAGCTCACCGGCGAGGAAATGGGGGCACCCGGATGCGGCACGACCCCGCCACATTTCTAAAGCTATGGCGGCGTTTATCTACCTAACAGGGGAAGGTCTCTCGGGAGACTTAACTTTGAAGGTTAATACTTCAGCCGGCTTGGTTACACGGAAGTCACGGAAACACACATGTACACGCGCCAAGTATGTTTTCAATGCAGTCCGGCGCCGAATCTCGATACTTTTTGGGTCTGGAAAGGTGATACTTTTCTCAAGTGGTCTGGCTTCTTCCTTCGTTCAGCCCCTTCGCCTGTTCTATTGCTCTTCTCGCAACTCCGGGACTTGAACCCTCCCGAGTTCCCTTCAAATAATCGTAGGCATTGGCAGCCACCCAAACATACAGAATAGATCGCGTTCTTACAGCAGAGAGAGAGAGAGAGAGAGAGAGAGAGAGAGAGAGAGAGAGAGAGAGAGAGAGAGAGAGAGAGAGAGATTGCTATATGAGCCCCCCCCCCTTATTTTTTCTGGGGCAGGGATATCAAAGGGCCGACTTTCGCCGAGAGATATTAATAAAGATTCCAATCCCACCTTAGTTTAAAAAACAAAAAAACCCAGTTTCGAGTGAAAGCGGTCCAGATGTCTGTCTCGGCTCCCTTCTTCCTTTACACCCCACTTTCTCGGATTTCTGCTCAACTTTCCGGGCCCAACGGAGGTAAAGACAAGGGCCAAACTATCTGCTTCCCGGATGGGAAGAGGCCGCAGAAAGTTTGCAATCAGAAATAGTTTTTTTTTTTTTCCCCTCCCCTCCTCTCCACCGGTCGGTCTTCCACTTTCCGCTTGACAACCGTCTCCTTAGCTGTCCGGGGACCAGGTTGGAAGGAGTTCCGAAAGTGGAAGCCGGAGCCCGCGCCGAGCAACGTCCCCTGACCCTCCGCTTCCCCGCCCTTCTCGGCTCCGCGCCCCCATCCCCTCCCCTCCGGTCCTGTACCTTTGCGGAGCCTGGGAGAGCCGCCCAGCTGTTCCCCCGACGGAGCCGGACTCGTTCATTTGGAAGTGCGGCGACAAAGGTGAAGGCTGGAAGGCGCGGGGTGGCGATTAGCGGGGAAGAGAAATCTGCTTACGCGCTTAATCCTCTCCACGGGCACAGACGTACCTTTATTCCGCCTGCAAGCGGAGCGAACCCCGCCGCCGCCGCCGCCGATCCAACACAAGCCGCTCGCTCCCAGCTCCGCCAACCCAGGACCGAGGAGAGAGAAAGGAGACCCTACCTAGCCCTTTATCGGCGCCAAGGGGGGCATTTCTTACCAGCTGTCCTGGGAGCGACGTCCCACCGTTCCCTTCGCCCGAGAAGGAAGGCGAGCGCTCCTCCGGTGACCCCCGATCGAAGTGCCGCGATTCGGGACTTTGGGGGAAGGAATTCAGGAGTTGAACCCAGCTCTCTTCTCCCAATCCATAGGCGCGCTCGCGGCGGAGCAAGTTAAAAAGAAAGGCGGCCGAATCGGGTGGGGATTCCGAGGCTCCCCGAGCTGCGTTCTTGACTTTCTTTCTTTCTTTCTTTCTTTCTTTTTTTTTTTTCCCTCGCGCGACTCGGCTCGGCTCGCCGCTTCTTCTCCCAGCCTGAACTCGCTACCTTGCCCCTTCGAAGTTCTTGCTTGCTGCAGGCCGATCGCCAGGAGCGCACGAGCGCAAAGTGGGGGCGGCGGCGGCGGGGGTGGTGGTGGTGGTGGTAGGGAAGGAGGGGAAGGCAAGGCAGGAAGAAAGAATACAAATAACGATCGTGGACACTCCTGCCCACTTGGCAAAAAAGAAAAAAAGAAAAGAAAAGAAAACAAGAAAGAAAAAGGGGGGAAATAAACCGCCACCCTCCTCCTCTACACACATACGCTTACAAATCCCCCTCTCTCGCATTGAGCACCCAAAAGCCTATTCAGTCAATTGGCTTGTACTGCCAGCGATTTGCATAGCCCCGCCCCTTTCCCACCTCCTCGGCCATTCAAGCGGGCCACGGACCCGTAGCCCTTCCCCTCCCTGCCGCGCCCCCTCTTTTTCCACCTGTACCGCCCCTCCCTTGCAGCTGGGTTTGGCGGACGCGGGGAGCCGCGGGATTCCAGGAGCGCGCTCTGGGGGTCGGCTAGGTGGGTTGGCCACCGTGTCTCTCGAGAGAGAATGGCTCTGCCTTCCTTCCGCCCATCCCCTCCTGCCGGCTTAGGTTCGGTTCCAGCAGTCCTGGCGCGACGTCTTCCATCCACGGCCCACTTTGCAAGCAACGCGATCCGGATCCGAAACCCAGGCTATGATTATTGGAATCGCCCGTGTTTCGGGCACATACGCGACTCGCCCTTCTCCTTCTCAGCTGCCTGCTTCGGAAAGGGGAATTCTGGCTTTCCTAAAAAAAAAAAAATCCAGAGGCAGCGTGCGGCGGTTGGGGGGTGGGGGTGGGTGGGGTAGGGGATAAATAAATAAATAAATAAATAAATAAAGCGAGTCCTTTGTCTTTCTCTCTCTCTCTCTCTCTGACGGAGTTATTCTGTGAAGTGCAAGGGAGTGCCTCGCGCCTCGTGGTGGTGGGGAGGGAAGCAGGGTGATGGGGGTGAGAGAGGGAGGGGGAGGGAGGAGGGGGCGTTGGAGGAAGGAAAGGAAGGGAAGGAGAAAGAGGTAGAAAGCAAAAATGAAGAAGGAAAGAATACCCGAGTGAGAGCGAATGAATGACCCGGGGGTGGGGGGTAGGGAGAGAAAGATATGGGGCCTTGCTTTTTAATATTGCAAAAAATCCTCCCACCCTTCAAGAAATACACTCTCTGCAACAAAGAAAACTCCGGCGTAACTGACAGCAAGGAGAGACTGTTATCTCCCCACCCCACCCGAACCGGGTGCCTCCTTGCTCATTTTAATCTGCCCAGGCAAGCTTACTTAACTCTTTGGTGGAGAGGAGGAGCGAAAAGGAGTCCTCGGTGGAACCATCCTGATCTTGAGATGCAAACTGAGCTGTGGAAATGCTCCGGTTTGGGTGCTTTGGAAGAAGGGTCCATTTACAAGTCAGGATCCCATGCTAAACTTCTGCCTGAGGGGAGCATTTTGTCACCTGAGTAAATAGGTAGGATGGCAGTTGCCCCTTCCAGGTAGAAAAGCTGATCAGGCTGGTAATCTGAACTTCAGCAGTAGAAGAGATGCTGCACCTGAGGGAGAAGGTTGTTTTAAGAGCAGGGGGGGGAATGAAGGAGAAGAGGGGAAGGTGAGGAGAAATATCCAGGGATGCGGTACTACAGCATATCCAAGCATCATCTACCAAAAGGGTAGACAATAAATCAGTGAATATTATCGGGCCAGCATTCAAAACTATGATATAACCACATTTCAAGCACTGCATACTTCAGGTCACCACATCTTAGTGGTAATGCTATAAAAAGAGTACAGAAAAATTCATTCTCCACCATTCAGTTAGAGCTGAAGAAACTTCTTGGATGAGAAGCGAAAGGACTTCAAAGAAAAACTAGGAAGTCCAGTTGCCTCTTGAAAAAGCATATTTGGGACAACCATGACCCTGATGATGAGAATCTCCATAGACAGTGCAGAAAAAGGCAATCAACAAGTTTTACAAAATGATATATGGTAAAGAAAGGATGAACAGAGAAGAAGATTTTGTCATCTCCCAAAATGTAAAATTAGAAGGCATCCAGTGAAATTGACCAGTGGAAGATTTAAAACTGATACAAGGACATTTTTCTTCACAGGGTTGATTATCAACCTGTGGAATACAGTGTTACAAGATATGGTGCCGACTGATAGTGTACATGGCTTCAAAAGGGATTAGACATGTTTCTAATATCTAATTTCCAATATCTAAGGAAGTGCCACAAAGGAGAGGGAGTCAACCTATTCTCCAAAGTACCTGAGGGCAGGACAAGAAGCAATGGATGGAAACTAATCAAGGAGAGAAGCAACCTAGAACTAAGGAGAAATTTCCTGACAGTTAGAACAACTAATCAGTGGAACAGCTTGCTTCCAGAAATTATGAATGCTCCATCACTGGTTTTTAAGAAGAGATTGGACAACCATTTATCTAAAATGGTATAGGCTAGGGTTTCCTACTTGAGCTGGAGGTTGGAGTAGACGACTTCTAAGTTCCCTTCCAAGTCTTTAATTCTATTATTTTAGACGGCAGGGCTAATTGCCTTGAGGATAACATATACAGTACCTCTTTCAGGCCTGGGATTGGTCTTCCTCTATAAATGGAGGGCTGGAAGAAATAGTGGGAGAGGACGTCTTGATCTCCTTGATGCATCTTGTGAGGTCACCATGGGAAGCAGAATGCTTGCTAGAGGAGCCTTAGGTTGATTCAGCAGGGCTATTCTCATGTTGTCAATTGAGATAACTGTCACAGTCAGTCTAATTATAAGGCTAAACCTGACATCATAAGCACTGGCCAGATGCAAACTAAATCAATTCAGGTTTATTACTCTGGGGTGGGGTGTCAAAACAGGGCATCGTAATGAATCTATCTAGTTTACGAATTCATGGTTTTACCTGCAAGAGCTCCTTTTCTCCTCTATGCTTAAGAAAGAGGGGTAAGCTGTGGTGAGGAGAGATATTCTATGATTTTTGCAAACATAGATTTTCATTTAATGTTGTGTGCATGCCGGAAGAGCTTCTGCAAACAATTTTTTTTCCCCCTGCATAAGATGTATACGCCCCGAACATGTTCTGATCCTGGGTTATCGAGCAAAATAGATACTATTATAATTAGAAGTGCCGTCTAAATTCTCAGGCAGTTAAAATATTAATTCTATGCAGGTAGCAGGCAGGACATTCCATATTAGAATAAGTCTGGGTACAGCTATATAAACACACACACACGCGCGCGCACACACACACACACAGAGCCTTTCCCCATCACACCATGGACAGAGAATGATTGACCAGCCAAAAATTCTGCATTGAAAAAAAAAATCCACATGACAGGTTCTGGCCTAAGGCTAACTAGGAAGGATGCATAATTTTTCTGTCTCTACTCTCTGTCTCCCCTCCTTCTCCTCCCTCCCTTTTCCCCCTATGTCTTTCCCATTGATGAATAATTCATAGGAGGCTCTTTGGCATACGGTATCATCTTCTAGTGTGTACAGTTAAGTAAAAACTGCAGAAAGTTTCAACAGCCGTTCTATGTGGGGGCTTTTCTAATGTCACAACATCTCTGAAGTGTATTTGCAAAGTACTTTTGCATGCAGCCCCTATTACTGAGGGTTAAGATCACTGTCATATCTCACGGAAGATAAATTCCGTGTCTGATCTTTAGAGCCCAGATCTATTCAACTGCAACTGTTATAATAGGTGTTCTTGATATCTGTCAGCAGTCAATTCACTACCCAATGGAATCAATGTTACAAAGTTTTAAAAGTAGACATGTAAATTTATGGGTCAATCACAATGCTTGCAATGTACATCTCTCTCTCTCCCCCCCCCCCTCCCCCCCCCCCCCCCTTCCACTCTTTATCATAGATGCTAAAAAAAAAGCAGTAAACGTAAAGAAATTGTTTCTCCCTTCCTAAGTGTAAATAGCCATAAATGAACTTTGTTACTAGCACTCTAGATTTCCACCCTCCTGAAACTACTTGTAGTAAAGATTAATAATATAATAAAATGCATATGATCGTTTATTCACTTTGGGACTATAGGTATTGAATAATATAAGACAATATAGTACTATTGATCATTCAATCTGTTGATATAGATATGGAATCATATTTATTGATATATTTCTGGATATATTTCTGTTGCAATGTTTTTCACTAATATAAGCTATGAGCTAACCTAGAATTTGTTGAACAGAATAGCACATAATTCTTTTGCTAAATTTTAGATAATAAAAGAACACACCATTTTGAATATTTCTCTTTTTAAAAAAATTCCCACTGCAGGAACACAGTAGGCAAAAATAAATACACAAATACACAAATTTTTACTTACATCAATTTTTTACTTACTTACAATTAAAAATGCACTGTTGATTAAAAGTAATGTGCACTGCATGCCCATGTAAATATATTCAAATTATAAAACCCAGTGTGTTTACTATAATTTTTCCTAATGTGGTTTACTTCTGCAGTCCTTTTTATGTACCTACTTGGAAGCAATTTAAAGGAGCTTACTCCCAGTTAAGTATGAATGTTGTGGAAATATTGCCTGATTCATATCCACAATTCAGTTAATGTTTTTCCACTCTTGGGCACTTTTAAATGATTTTATAGCAGGTTGTTCATATTTCTGTTAAAAATATTCAACACTGAATTGCAAAAGGTGAAAATAAGAAATACTGGAGAAATGAGAGGGCTACTAAGGTTTCAAAAGAGAAGTTGTAGCATATGGAAATGCACGCAGTTTGTTCATTAAAGAAGAGGAATCGGAGAAGAGGATGTGGAGTATCAGCCCATATCCATGTCAAAGATGGATATGTTTAAGGAAATCTTTATGATTTAGCCTACAAGGTTGATTTAAAGAGCATACCGTTTTGGGGATAATGCACAAATATGTTATCTCAAGTATTATCTTAGAACAGAGGTATCAAACTCAAGGCCCGGGGGCCAGATCCGGTCCACAGGGTGCTTAGATTTGGCCTGCAGAGCCGTTCTAGAAACAGTGAAGGACTGGTCCATAGTGCCTCTGCCAGTGAAAACGGAGGCCCTCCCAAGCTCTGTTTTCACTGGCAGGGGGTTGCACGAGGCCGTTGCAGCCAAAAATGGAGCTCTGGAGCCTGTTTTGTCTGGCAGAGTGCTCAGGTCACCACAGGCGCCCCTGACACAAGTGACGTTGAGCTGGCCATGCCCATTCTGGCCCCCGAGGTCAAACACAGCCCTCAATGCAATTGCGTTTGAAACCCCTGTCTCAGGGGTGGGTTCTACTTACCTTTACTACCAGTTCGCAGATTGCTTCTGATGATATCAGGGTCAGTGGGCGGAGCCTCCCACCGGTTTTACTGCCAGTTCTATAGAACTGGTCCGAACCGGGGGCAACCCACCACTGCCCTGTCTCAGAAGATATTCTGGGCTTTTTTCTTTCTGGCAGCCAGCAGGCCCTATGTTGCCCTATGCTGCTCAGTGAGAGTCTCTCACTTGGGATTGGAATAGCCTTTCCAATACAGTTTGTGCTTATTATTTTTTAATAATAGACATTGAATTTACATTTTTCTGAGAACGAACAGTAGTTTACACAAAGGTCTCCCATAATGTTATCTCTACAACAACCCTGTAAAGGATTGAATTAAAAAAGAGTGCTTGTCCCAAGGCCATCCCAGGAGCTCCTTAGTCAGGTGGGGACTTGAATTTGGGCCTGCCAATCCAAGGTTAACATTTTAGTCACTGCATCATCACAGGTTTTTTTTACTTTAGATACATAACTTACA